AAGGGTCTAGGCCCGAAACGTCAGCTCTCCTGCTCCTCTGATGCTGCTTGGCCTGCTGTGTTCATCCAGCTCTACACCTTGGTATCTCAGATTCTCCAGCATCTGCAGTTCCTACTATCTCTGGGACTTAGGAATGTTTTATTAATACAGTTGGAACACTTTTCTAAAATTTAGGTGGTCCATAGGAGGTTTTACCTGCACCTGATCTGTACCTGATCAAGCTGTTTGATACTGAAATCAAATGTAAAGTGGTGGCCTCTCCCTCAAAACCAACATGCCTTCATGTTGACCAAGAATTAAAAGGTCTGTAACCATCTCATAGCAAACTCCAACTGTTGTGAGCAAAAACAAAAGTTGCTGGGAAAGCTCAGCAGATCTGGCAGCATCTGTGAAGAAAAATCAGAGTTAACGTTTTGGGTCTAGGTTCTGAGGAAGGGTCACTAGGCCCAAAACGTTAACTCTGATTTCTCTTCGCAGATGCTGCCAGACTGGCTGAGCTTTTACAGCAACTTCTGTTTTTGTTCCTGATTACATCATCCACAGTTCTTTCGGTTTTATCCAACTGACATGAAATTGTGTTCACATTGAAAGTTTTTTAGTAAGTTCACTCAACTGCTTTAAAACTTGCAAAATGTTGACATGTTTGCTTCCTACTGTTAGTTTGCCTTTACATTGTAGTCACTGCAGGATGCAAAAAAATACAAATACTATGCAAGATTATAAAATCCTCAAAGCACTCAAGTCAAACTGAATTGTAGCTGTTCCAAAGAGGAAAAAAGAACAAGTTGCATACAATAAATGGGCATTCATTGCTGTGAATTGCTTTGGCTTTAGTAATTTAACTGTTAAAAATCAACTGGGGGAAATCCATAAAATCTTAGTATGTGAACATATGATTTGCTTGCTAAAGCAACAGACAAAGACATTGGAAAATGTGTTTGAATGCAAATCACAAAGTTAATCTGTAGCCTAATTCGGTACATAGTTCACATGGAACTCAACATTTTCATTCAGAGTTTAACCTCAAAACCCTTGAGAATAACCAAGCATGACTGAAAAGACATGCATCCAGAAACAATCCAACTGCTTTGTGACAGGGTTGCTAACTTTCCAGAATTACTTTCATTTCTCCTGAAATTGAAGACTAATTTCCAGAACACTAGTGCGATCATAACTGGAGAAAAAATTCATAAGGTTATTAAAAATGTACTGTTTGTATTTCTTTGAACACTTTTGTTTATTTGTTATAAAACCATGAAGACAGGATAAAAAGCTGTTTAACTGAGAGCCAAGAATCATCCAAACAGATTTCAAAACAACTGTGTTGCAATTTGTGTAGAAAGGCAGTACCTGTACTGCATTTTCTATAACTACTGCATTGACTTGGTCATTGACAGCTGACCAAGTTGGGAATTTGAGGGCTCCCAGGAGTGACACAAAGGGTAAAGATTTAATCAAATTACTCAAAGCCTCAATTTTCCTGTCTGATCAACTTGGGTTAACAGAAAACACTGACCAGGTTTCTTATAGACTACTATTTATTTCAAATAAAGCAGTTCTAACCATATACAAACAAAATATGAACTATCAACCTATAACTCTTTAATATAATCTCTCCTTTTTAAATGCCTAAACACACATGCAGACAGACATAAACAAACAAAGAAATAGATGTTATCGGTGGAAAAAGAATTTGGGAACACAATGCAAAAATACAAATCCACAGGATTGAATGAAGGGTCATTTTTCCTCTTCCAAGCCCTTCTAAGCTTTAATCTTCATTATAAGTCCCTGCAGTTCTTTCCTGCTGATGCACTGAGGTTGGCATATCAATTGTTTAATCTCTCAGTCACTTGTTACTGAGAATAGCTGGCTGTTATGTTAATGTTTGTTGCTTTTCTGCAAGGAGAGAGAGATGCCATCCTTATAGAGGTTTTCGACGCCTGTGTTGATCAGATGCAGTCCCATTGCCCAGGACCCAATCAAAGTTGTTGTCATGTTGGTGACTTCTGACCCACACAACTGGTACTGATTGGTTTTTCAATCAACAGTCTAAGCTGCCGCAAACACACACTCAGGGTACTGGTGAGTCTGCAGCATCTTCCCCACCGCTTGAGCACAGAAACAGTGTAAATACAACTCACAATGAGGTACAGTAAATTGTTTTAGAACTGTAACATCTCCCTTCACATTTTCCTCGATTTAAAGCAGTGTCTTTTTCCCACTTTGGTTCGCAGTCCAAAAAAAATTTATAAAATGATCTTTCTATTTGTGATGCATCATCCGTATCAGTCAGCGCCTGTCCTTTAAGATCACAACAACTTAACAAAGACTTCTGGATTTGCATACAAAGTTCATGATTGTAACAAGGTAAGCCAGGTAGATCTCTCAGAATGAGTTCCCTGATTGAGGCTGTTAACCAGGTCCAATCAGGGAGCCCTAGCTGACAAATAAGAACAGGAGTGTCAGATATCCTGTTCACTCTGAGAGCTAGATCAATGTCAAGGATTCGCAACATGTAAATAAAAGGTGACTTGGGTTGTGATGAGATACCGTCCTCAGTGGAGTTATTTCACAAAGTACCAAAAGCAATCTGTGGATTTTTTTTAAAAATGTTGCAAGATATAGTACTAGGAGGCTAAATTTCTCGTCCACTTGTGACAGTTCCAAATATTTTAAAAATGAAAGATCAACTCCAACCCACTCAATTCTTATTTTAACATAAACAGGAGACCCACACATCCTCAGGAGTTGGTTATGTCTTCAAATCATTTTTAAGGAGGCTGCATGCATTCATTTTTAACGTCACTTTTATTTTTTAAAAGCCACCAGGCCAGCTTAACAGGTTTCATGAAATACATCATCTGAAGGGAGCCCCAGAGGCCAGGTGAAACAGGTGCCTGTATTACCTACCTGCAAAAATGATCAATAATGTATACACCATCTGCCCCTCAGACCCCAACCTGACAATCTTTCTGACCTGCTCCCAATAACTCATCATCTCCTGATGCCACAATCCCTGTTTAATTTGCCTGGCATTTTAAAAATTATTTTATTTTAAGAAAACATCAGGTCCAACTCGATGATCTCCCTAACTGTTTTTTAATCCTCCAAGTTCCACGCTTTGCAGCGGTTTCTGCATGTGGAATTCAATGTGTCAGCTTGCCAGTCATGGCCGTTTAACTGAGGGAAACATTAGTCCTACCATTAGGTTTAGTATAATCTCCAGAAAACCATACCTCTGAGTTTACTAAATGATTAACCATCCTAACAACCTTTCAGCCACCTATCAGTATTGGAAATAAAGTCCTTAATTTTGTTAGTATTTACATCTTGCCTCTACTTTTATCTCTATAAAATATTTATATAGCATTCTCAGCATAGGAGACTTTAGAATTTACAAAACAGTGATCAATTATGAAGGAAGAACTTAGAGGTTCTGAACAACATAACCACTTTTTTTCAGGACAATTGATCACTCAATTCTATTATATCATTTTTCCCCAAATACATCTATAAATATTTTCTAAACCATTCATGGACCTTCTCAAAATATACTTACTATCTTAAATATAAATGCAGAAAAACCAACAAGACTGCAAGTTTTGAAAACCTATCACAGTACACTGCCTTTTCCAGACTATATCTCTCCTCCCTGCCTTGAATACTAAATAACATGCCCGATCTATTTTTACTCCACAGCATTCATGTATTCGTGATGATATGTTTGAATAATTATTTCTTATTGCAACTATAAAAATCCATGTATACCAACCTATCATCACATGTGTGTATCTACTTACAATCTTGTTATATTATGAAAACACATGTGGACATGTTTTGTCATCTATATTTTCCTGTATTTCTGTGTTCTTAGATGATTTCAACTCTCGGTACGAGGACTGTGAACTTCAATAAATGGACAGACATCTTGATAGCTTGTTTTAGTGTAATGAAATTATAATTTGTTAAATGTACAATAACCTAAAAAATGTGATTTATTGTTTAATAGTCATTTAAAGAAAAGGGTGTGAACACATTTTAAAGGCCCTGTACATGATACAGCCTTTGATCCCTGCCATAAATTTCCATTTCCTAGCCACTAACTCTAGCCATCTTACTGGCCATTCTGAGAAAGAACCAACTGTTCACAACATTTCTGCAGGGTTGAGCCCGTGTTGAGCTCGTGTTGAGCTTCTGACTGTACATCTGCATTATCAGAAAGAACACCTGTTTTTATTTATTTGTCCCTGCTTCTGCATAGCTGCTGCTGAAACACTCATTCAATTCTCTTGTTTCTTCTAAACTATTCCATTTTATCCCAGCTGGTCTCCCATCTTTTTCTCTCCATAGACTAAAGGCAAGCTAAAACACAGGTACCAGTATCTCAGCTCTCAGCACATTTCACTCACCCATCACCCCTGTGTTGCTGATCTACACTATCTCCCAGTCTGACAAAACCTTTTCAAATCCTTGACTTCCTCCATCTCTGCAATCTTCTGTAATTCTTTAATCCTGGCCTCTTGAGCATCCTGCATTTTAATTGTTCCACTTTTTTGCCCCACTTTTCTATCTCATTTTACTTCTCTAAAACATACTTCATATTCCTCAATATTCCTATTTTTTTATTATGTGCTTGGTATTAAATATTACTCAATAATGCTAATGTGAAATACCTTTGGACATCTTGCTACATTAATTATTTTATACAAATGCAAGTTGTTGTCGTGAAAGAATTTGATTATTTAACTAAATCAGTACAATATTCTAAATCCCTGTTTGTCAATTGAATTGGCTGTAACATGCTTGCTTTGCTTGTTTCACTGTTCATCTGAACTCTAGTAAATGATGACTAGCTTGTCAGGAAATGCTCTGCTTAAATCAGAATTTTGTTCAGATCAAGATCCTATGAACTGCAGTGAAAACAGCCAATCACAAATCTTTTAGCACACCAGCAATTCAATTCAATAGAAATCACTTAAGGTGCTTAAGAAAATATTAATATTTTACAAAGGATTACGTATGACATACAGGACAGAAATACTCTACTCGGCCCAATCACTGCTTGCTGGCTTTCTCCTTTTCTCCTCTAAATCTAATGCTGTTTCCTTCTTCTTCATATGCTCGAGTAGCTTCCCTTTAAATGCATCCATATCATAGCCTCCTTTTGCACTGTAGGGATCCTATCAAGTTTGCACTGATAGCATCACACTCAAACCCCAACCCTATCCCCATAACTCTGCATTTACCAGGGTTAATCGACCTAACCTATACATTCATGGATACTACAGACAATTTAGCATGAACAACCCACCTAACCTGCACAACTTTGGACTGTGGAAGGCAACCAGAGCGCCCAGTGGTAACCCATGCAGACACAGGGAGAACGTGCAAACTCCAAACAGTCACCCAAGGCTGGAATCAAACTCAGATCCCTGGCATTGTGAGGCACTAGTGCTAACCACTGAGCCACCATGCCGCTGTGCACATGGTTCACTTCAACTACTCCCTGCAACAGCAAGTCCCACAGTCTCATCAGTCTTTGGATAAAGAGGTTTGTTCCATTTCCTCCCACATGGAAAGATTTTCCCTATATAATTTTAAGACCTCAATTAAGTTTTGCCTCATCTTTCTAATTTTTTTCCCCAAAAGCAAAAGAAACCTCAGCCTTTAGTCCTTCCCTGTGTACCCATTCATTTCTGATCACATCTTTGTAAATCTTCTCTGCACCCCCTTCACTTCGCCATCATTTTTATTGTATGGTAATTAGTCTGCATGCATAGAACATAGAACATAGAACATTACAGCGCAGTACAGGCCCTTTGGCCCTCGATGTTGCGCCGACCTGTGAAACCAATCTGAAGCCCATCTAACCTAAACTATTCCATTATCATCCATATGTTTATCCAATGACCATTTAAATGCCCTTAAAGTGGGCGAGTCTACTATTTTTGCAGGCAGGGCATTCCACGCCCTTACTACTCTCTGAGTAAAGAACCTACCTCTGACATCTGTCTTATATCTATCACCCCTCAATTTAAAGCTATGTCCCCTCGTGCTAGCCATCACCATCCGAGCAGTACTCCCAAACGTGGTCTAACCAAGGTTTTCTAGAAGTTTAGCATAACTTCACTACTTTTCAATTCTAAAGCCATGTGCTCCTTGCTTTAACAATATTGAACTCGAGCAAATATACTCATGAAGCAATACAAAACTTATTTTTGAACTGCAAACCTTGGTAAATGTGCTGGTTCTTGTGTCTCTGAGCTACCATTTGTAGCCGGTCTGGTTTGGAGGTATTCTTTGCATAGCAAGCTTGTGTTGCTTCATCTTTGTATATTCTCTCAAGAGAAAGAAGGCAGCAAAATAGTATTGGTGAACCACTACTGAGTTCCATTCCAAGAAGCGCAAAATGACTTAATGTGGACAATTTAATACAGCAGTTGGCCTTTTTTTAAGCTCTTTATTCTGAGAGGTGAAATACCTGACTGTCACTTGGAGACTCCCAATGATACCATTGCAGACATTGTTGTGTAAAGAAATCAAAACAACAGACATATTTCTAGTCATTTCATGACGCAGCATTTTATAGAATCCGCAGTATTCTCCTTTAAGATATTGGTCCTGATTGTGGCCCTCAGCAAAATGTTATAGCACAATATCATGGGGCAGTTCAGTTACCCATGATCACTAATAATGAAGGGGCTGATTGGTCAGGTGAGTGGAGTGGCTTCATTTGCTATTCTATCTTCACCAATCTCCATTTTAACACAGTTAGTTTTGTTTTAACAAAGATCTGTAGCTTGGGTCACAGTTGGAGTTGTTGGTTGGTTCGCCGAGCTGACTGGTTTTCATGCAAATGTTTCGTCTCCCTTCTAGGTGACATTGTCAGTGCTGTGTAGCCTCTATTGAATGCCGTTGTTCTGTCCTGCTCTGAATTTATATGGTCCGGTCTGTCATGGTGGGCAGCCTTGTTTCTGGTTTTGTACTGTAGTGGTATGTAGATGGGTTTATTTCAACATGTTTGTTAGTTGCATCAGTGGTTGAAGAACAGTTAGTTTTGCTGAAGGATAAAGCTCCCACTGCACTGAGGTGGCATCGTGGTTAATCAATGTTGTCAGTGTTATGTAATATACATGATAACTCACTGGAATTTTAACTGGTTTCAAAACAGGATCTGCTCTGGAAGTTCCACTAGATAACCTGCCTGGAACCCACGATGCATGCTTAGATAAATTTCAAAACTATTCCTTAATGATTCTAGGAGCAACAAGGGCACTCCTCTCGGCCACACAGTCTCATCCAGTGGCATTCTGAATACACTATTGTTGCATTTCAAAGATTTGTCATTCAAAGAATAACTCTTCAAACATCAAAGCTTGCTATGCTAAAGTTGTTTTAATATTTTTGATAGAAAATGACTACCAATTGTCACATATAAGTATTGCGTCTATCTATTGCTTAGCACATTGCATTCAGGAGATTAGTTTAAGGGATCACCTACTTTTCGTTCAAAGCTTCTCAGCAATGACAAGGAATGCAGTACAGTCTATAGATTTGTTAAAGCAATTCTTCAAACTGCACTCCCAATAAAAGCAGTTCCTTGCTTGGAGCTGTGGATATTGGAATGTTAGCAAGAGTTAATTAAAGCCCTTGTTTTTTTTCTCATCTAGGTGTGTGTGCAACATTGACTGTTCCCGCATCAGTTTCAACCCTGTATGTGCTTCTGATGGTAAATCCTATGATAACCCTTGTCAGGTTAAAGAGGCATCTTGCCAGAATCAGGAATTCATAGAAGTCACTCATTTGGGAAGATGTCCAGGTAAATGAAACAATTTCATTGCTCTATTTGGTACTTAAAAAGTGCAATTTCCATCAGGTTTTTGTTTTTGCAGGACCTTGTGAATATTCTGTTAAAGTACTCATGCTATTTCAGTGTCCAATGATGTAAATTCAATGATCCTGTACTAAGGCACTTGAAACAAATGTGGATTAGAGAGTAGGCTGCAGCATTACTGTTTCACCTCTGAACCACACTCAAAATGTAGGATCAGAAGTTTATAAAACAGTTAAAAACCAAAAGAACTGCGGATGCTGTAAATCAGGGACAAAAACAGAAGTTGCTGGAAAAGCTCAGCAGGTCTGGCATCACCTGTTCTGAGGAAGGGTCACCAGACCCAAAACGTTAACTCTGATCTTTTTCTTCACAGATGCCACCGGACCTGCTGAGCTTTTCCAGCAACTTCTGTTTTTGTTTATAAAACAGTTATTTGACATTTGTAATTCTACACCGTGATTTATTCCAGAGTATCTGATGTTTAATCCTTGTGATAATATTCCATCGCCACAGCTATTAGTGTTTGTTTACAAACAAGTATAATGATCATGTTATAAAACAAAATGAATTAATTTGAGAATACCTGTATCAGAAGTAGCCAAACTAGTATCCAGCTCTTCTACTGGTGAAGTGCAATTTGTTTACTCTCATTTAATTTCACCCACAACCCATCAAGGAAGCAACAGAGCCATTACTGCCATAAGCACAAACATTCATCACAATACTAGACTCTCTAGCAGAAATCAAGGCAGCTGAATGAAAGCTCTGCTGCTGATTTACCATAAGATAGGTTGTGCTGCGTGGCTGTTCAGTTCAATGGTGCAGCTTGCTTAGTCCTTCACTGCTGAGGATAGCACACATATGACTGAAGTGAAGGAGAACTGAAGACACAACACTGAGTTTCTCCTTGAGTTTGGGAAGAAACCTTGCATTGCACCTGCTCGTTTTCCTTCAATTGAAGGACACAGACTTTAGAGAACAAAGAGTCACACTTTCAAACTTTTAACAAAATTTGTCATTTATTTACTGTTCAGTACATGAAATTAGACAGAGAAAGAGAGAGGAATGGGGAAAGCAGAAAAGGGAGAAGATGCAAGGATGAATAGAAAGCAAAACAAGAAGCAATGAGAAAAGAACCAAGACAGCACATGATTGGTAATGATAGGAAGAAAGACAAGAAACAATGAATGAAAATGGGTGGAACAGTGGCTCAGTCATTAGCACTGTTGCCTCACATTGTCAGAGACCCAGGTTCAATTTCAGCCTCGGACAACTGTCTATGTGGAGTTTGCATATTCTCCATGTGTCGGTATGGATTTCTTCCGGCTGCTCTCGTTTCCTCCCATAGGCCAAAAATGTGCAGGTTAGGTGAACTGACCATGCTAAATTGCCTGTAGTGTCCTGGGATGTGGATTAATCATGGGAAATGTAGGGTTATGCGGACAGAGTTGGGGGGGTTAATCTGGGTGAGATGCCTTTCAGAGGATTGGCGTGGACTCAATGAGCTGAATGGCCTGCTTCCAAACTGTAGGGATTCTATGATTCTGCGAATAAAAGAGATGAAAAGAGGGAAGTGAGATAGAATGTGACAGTATTAGATAACAGAAAAAGTAAATAAGGGAGGGGTGTTAGGGAGGAGATGGAATGAGAACAAGAAAAGGTAGAGACAGAATGAAAAATTGAGAGAAATCCAGATATCAAACAACTAAGTGAAGGCAAAGCATATTTCAACAGCCACAGTGATGAATTAAGTTTCAAAGTTACTCACATGCTTTAATTACAATTTTAACTGATGAAAAGTAATGGGCTATATGCACGTTTCTCATTCTGCTCTCTGCAAGTGCCACTCCTCGGTGGGAGCATAAAAATGTACAGTTATCCCATCTATTTAATATTTGTTACTCCTTGACAGCACACAATTTGTTTTATTCATCTCTTGAAAAGTTGACCATCTGCGACCTATGCCTTCTGTTCAACTGCAACTGCTAAAATCATACAAAGCCAAGTAATACAACCCCAGTTATTCAGTAATACAATGAGTTTTCCCAATTAAGCATTTTCCTCACATTTGCATCACTCAAAGACTAGAACTAAATCTTGAAATTCTGATGTTGCAATGTTATTGGAAACTATACTAAAATGTGGATTTACGTAGAATAACAAAGTTAGTACAATATAAGTTAATTCTGTACTCACAGTAATGTTTAGCTGAATTTAAAAAATGATCTATGTACAGAAATGCTGATGTGTGGATGCTCTGAATATCTTGTAAACACTGCAGGTACATTAGATTTTCCACTTCCAAAGTAATACCACTTGAACTTTATTGTTGACATTTTCCTTATTATAATTTATTCTTATATTTTTGAAGTTTTATAGTGCACGTACACACATTGGGCCAAAATTTCACCAAAACTGGTCAAGTTACAATTTCAGGGAGTTCCATTGGAGGCTTCCTTGCCATAAGTTGCAGTGGGCTTTTATTATGCAGTGCTTCACAGCTTGCCTCATTAGCTTTGCACTACGCCTGTACGGGGCCTTGCTTGTACTATTGTGTGCTCACCAGAACAGAAGGATTTACCACTGCTGGGATTCCTGGAGCCATATTTAAAACTCCATACCACACAAAATGAGGTATTGCCAGCCAACAGCTGCCCTTCACACGCACATAGCAGGAGGGAAACTAAAAAGAAACTCGAGGGCACATTGGTGGCTGAAAATGTTCACTTTTACAAACAGCAAAAGCAAAGAAAAAGTGAATAAAAATTAGCCACATTTGCTTCTGGGAAGAAAGAGGGCCCACTCGCCTTTGGATCAATGACAAATTTACAATCAATGAATAATCACAGTACTCAACTCCTATCCACGGAAACCAGGTGCCAGTTAAGTCCTATCTGACTTGTGCCTTACATTGCCCTTCTTTATCAGGCTGTAGGTGACATTACTCCTGTTCGCTGTCTTCATCTTCCTCCTTAGAAGATTGCTGGTCCTCTCCCAGCTCCTCCGCATCTATCACATCCCTTTTGAGCCTACTTTCCAGACTGCAGTCATGCAGAGCCCTTGACTGTGACCACCTCATTTTGATGACTGACCTTGTCGCAGCACCTACACTCAGATCAAAGACTGCCCTTGACTGACCAGCAGGACTTTCTGACTGATGACAATCCCCCTTGACTTGACCAAGGAATACTCCCCTTAGACTCAGATCTGGCCATTGGATTGAAGAAAATACAATTTAATTGCTGTCAAAACAGCTGGCGTGTCCTGTAGGTGTGACAGTGACATAGCACAATGCTATACAACAACATGTGACCCCCTTGAATGAACACCACTAACACCATGACAAGGTCCTGGCTTTGTATCTGCACTAAACAGCAAGGCAAGACAGAAGTACCATGAGCCTTTAAATTCTGAATGAAGTGACAAAATGCAAAAAATGCAGTCCAAGAAAAGATGCTGTGAGCATCCAAAAAAGAGCAGAGGGAGAGTGTGATAAGAGAGCAAACAATGAGCCCTCCAATGCACCCCGGTCCAATCCATGACATAGATAATTGTCCCTGCAATGCAAAGTGCCATGGCAGGAGCATTAAAGGAGTTAGTGCATTCTAAACTGCAGCTTTGAAGTGAAGTGGAGAACTGTATTGTAAGGGAGTCTGGGATGTGACATCATGATGTGGTAAGACTGGTGCATGTCCAATATCAGTCTGCATGGATGTGGTGTTAAGACAGCCACTGCCTATGAAGCATAACTGAGATGTTACTGACTGCTGCCTAAGTTGGAGGCTCAGAGGAGCAAGTAGTGAGCTGGAGTCACTATGTACCACCTCGGACTTCCATGTTGGGAATTGTCACCTCTAGTTTCTCTCTGGTGCATGAAAGAATATGAAATCTCATATCAATGAGGCATGATCAACTACTAATAGTGGGCAAATACATGTATGTTGCCGGTCACCACTCACTAACGAGATTCCGGTTCATAACTCATTTGCGGAATCAGACATTTTTTCCTATCTCCATTTATGAATCACATTTTCTCTGATTTTTGCCAGATTTTTCCAACAGACTCACCATTATCCACATTGTTGAGGGGCTGGAAAGATTCCACCCATTGTGACTGGAAGTTTATACGTTAATATGACAGTGTACCTTGTGATACCATGAAAAGTATGTGGTTTTCTCAACTGATAGGTCAAAAATTCTTCATGCGAGATAATGCAGTCTGTATGCTGGGTTAAAATCCTTGAATGTTAATGATCTGACAACACATTTTGCAGCACACTAAAATGTAGAGATTGTATCATGTCCAAAATTCTGTATGAATCTCAGGGGTCAATTGCATGCTATGCATAATAATGCTAAATACTTTATAATACAAGACAAAGCAAGTGGGGCTTTCATTTTCACTGTGAGAGCACTGTTTTCTACAGAGACCATTGTTTTTAAGAACTTTTTGTAAGCGAAGGATTCTGCAAAGGTAAGAGTGAAGTTACTTTCAGTAAGGAGAAAAGCAAAACACGAAAAGTAAAGAAAATCTATTGTTCAATTTGTTATCGGAGATACCCGTAAACTGTTGTGCTCTTCCCAGTCAACAAGGGATGACATGGGACTAACCTGCAAAAAGAAAATACCATTTGAAACAATTGTCTTTATATTGAAACACATGAAGCCTCAAAATGTGCATAGCATCCTTTATGTGCAGTTAATGGCCCTCCTTTGAAAGGAAAAAAAATGTTCTGGAAAATTACCTTCTGTAAAGTAGCAACTCTAATCTTACTAATTTACACATGACCCAGAGGGCAGCACATTCCACACCAGGATAATTAATTCAAGAATAAGGCTTAGAATGAAATGCCTTTGCACAAATGCTTAATTAACACATTGAGTTAAGTAAAATGCTGGTTAGTCCCTGGTGATTTTAGCAGGAAAAAATCTACAGTTTATTCTCCAACTGTTTCCCTGCAGAGCAACTGATGAAAAGAGTCACAGGACAGAAGAAATGTGTATCATACAGGTTGCCTAGGTAACTTAAGTCATTTTAAAACAATTTTAACTTTTTGAACAGAAAACGCAACCACAGGTACGAAAACTGAAGATGGGCTTTATGCAAGAACTGATTACACAGGTAGCCATTTCTAACCTCTTTGAGAAATTTAGTTTTTTTTTTAAATAAGGATAAAAATATTAGGAGTTTAGTTCTTTGAAGTTCCAACAACTCGTGTTTTTTCATTCTGGAGGCCATTATAGAATCTCACTTGTAATATTCTCCTGACTCAATATTACACAGTTCCAGATTGTTAGTCACAGTATTCAAACACAGTCTTTTGTGGTATGGTCTGTAAATGAAACAGAAAATTTTTCTGTTTTAGGAATTTTTAAAAACTTCTTGCTAATTGTTTTTCTTGGTCAGAGTGATTACAGCACAACATTGCTAGAGAAGAAGAAATATCAATGGGTCTTCTGCTTCCAATAGCTCTTTAGTGATTGTTTTTGAAAATGTGAAGACAAGATCATTGGTGAAGAAGGCTGCCTAGTTCACCAACTAGATTTACATTAACATAGCTAATTGGATGAGACATGTGGAGATGGGTTAAATTATCAGCACTTTCAGGACAACAGCAGAAGAATCAGCTGGCCAAGAACATCAAAGTTGGATTGATTTTGTAATCTCAATTTATAAATTAGATTTTGTTCTACTGCTATTTCTCTCTGAAGTTCCTTCACTGGAATTCATTATTCTCGTGCTACGAGCAATCTAATCTTGATGTCATAATTTATAAGATGACATTCATATAGAACCCAACTCCACTGACACTTAGACTCTTTCCTGAAGTCATTAAATATTTTTCAATATTTTTTATTTCCCTCCATTTTGCATTTTATATTACAGAAAAAAATGCCAATAAATTAGAAAAACCTGCCCGGGGACTATTTATCCCATGTCCCAATCACTTGGATAATCTTTGTTTACATGGAAAATGTGAATACTTGATTAATAAACAGGAACCATCTTGCAGGTAAATGTTTAGACAAGACAGAAACAAATCAATTTTTTTAATTTCTATGTAAACATTACTTATTTCAATATTGTATCAATGCATTTGCTGAATAATTACTCTCATTTTGCAGCTGTGAAACAGGTTTTAAAGGACCACGCTGTGAACAAAAAGAGTTTAATGTTTTGTACGTAGTTCCTGGAGCTGGAAAACTTCAGTATGTCTTAATAGCATCCATCATTGGAGCTGTGCAGGTGGCCATCATTTTGATTGTTGTTCTTTGCATAACAAGGTAACCTTACTCATTAATAATTGGTCAAGGTATTTGATTAAGGTAGTCGGTATTCTGATTTCCACTGCATCGTCCTGTGCTAATTGTTAATCATGTTAATCTTAAAAAGCATTGTCTCATTTCTGGCACCTGGGAGGTCAGCATCAAGCTTTCATTTGCAAGAGGAACAAGTGCTCTGCAACGTTATTGATCTGAGAGACTGGGCAGATCTTGCGTGATCTTTACGACAATGAGCAGCATTATGACAACATTAAGAAGTCAAGATTGGCAATACTGGGAAAAGCAAGGTTCTGAGGGAGTTACATGGAGGATGGGCAGTGTCAAAATTGGTAGCCTGTTCACCATATGTAAATATATTAAGAGTCAATTAAATTTGTTAAATCGACCCCAATAGTACACTGCCTTTGCCATAATATAGTCGGGTCAGAATGGTCAGCTGTTTGTTTTGAAGTTTTTAAAAGGATGGAAGAGTGGATATTGTATTTGGTGATGCCCTTTGTCTATCAGGGGTCTCTTAGTATAACCTCATCCCAAACCGCCTCGGGCAATTTGAATAAGAATAAAATAGAATGCACCAACTGGCATCACCCCAAGGTCAGATATAACACTGTCTAGTTGATCTCGATCAGTCTACCTCGCTAACATTTGCATGTGTATGAAAATTGGTGACTTGTTATACCGATAAAAAAATCAAGCAATAGACTGGCACACAGTAAAATCTTGATCAGTTGAATCATATTGTACACAGTCAGACTATTGCAAAAGGCACTGAAAAACATAGAGAGTCAGTGCTGAAAAAGCTTATAATCTTTCTCTGCTTATGGTGCTGTTCTAGGTGAGTCTCTGACTGTCTAGCATCAGTGCAGTCAGAAACATTTTCCATGTTTTTGTGCTACAGTGTGAAATTCTAGAGCATCAACATAGCGTTTGGAGCTTCAGTTGAGGTGCCAACCTGGTGGAGCTAAACACAGGGCTAACTTCTTGGACCAAACAGGGCTGTTTGCCTTTTGAGCAACAACAAATTTACAATCAATGAATGATGACTTCACCTAACTCTGATCTATTGTGTGCAAGTCAATTAAGTCCCATCTGACATAATGCACCGGATGCTGCCCTGCTGTATGATGAAAAAGGTGATGTTCCTCCTACTCTGTCCTCATTTTCCTCATCAGAAGACTGCCAGTGCTCTTCAGCACCTATCACATCTCCCTTGCCTCCTCTGGTTGTGCAGGTCATAGCATGCAATGGTTAGCACACCTTTTGACTGGAGTGAACTTCAAGGTCCCCATCAGACCAATCCAAGCATCAGAACCTCAACTTCAGAAGACCTACTGTCTGCTCTATGAAGAGTGGAGAATGGACTGCATTGTATCTATGCTTAGCCTCAGTTGGGGAACTGCATATTAGAGTCTTTAGCCATGATTGCACGATTATAGCCCTCATCTCCCAGCAGCTATCCTCAGATGACATTTTGCCCTTGAAATGAAGCTGGAATCCAAGTTAATCTTGGATATAGGAAATTATGACAGCTTCCACAATACCTGGTGCAGACCTCTAAAAAAGTGTGGTACCGATGATCACAGATGATTTTTACATTGACTGAATAGAACTCTTTCATGATGAGTTCAGCAGTGTTATCATATGGTGCACACTGTGACATGCACGATCTGTAGTGCCCTGCATCTGGGGAAAGCCAGCTAGTTGGCAAAGTTTACTGCATTGGCTACAGCAGTTTCTTTGTGATTGGGAAAAGAGATGAAGTGCTGTGATCTGGCACAAATTATATCAGTAACAGCTTTGATAACATTTCAGTTGAGAAATCACACACAGGTTCTCAGCTGATCCTTGGCAGTAACCATTCGCATAAAAATGTAGCACAGCTGTCACCTTGATGGCCATTCACCCCTTCGGATCACAACTCCTGTTCCTGCAGTTGACATACTTTGGATACCTGGGACATCTTCATTCAATGGTGGCGCCATCATTTGGATGAAATGGCATCTAGAACGATGGAATCTGGGCCTCCTGTGCCTCCTCTGCATCCTGAAGGATCCTCTGCTGTGACTCATTCATGTGGCACTGTTCAGCAGCTCTGGTTGCTGGTCCTGGGCTTTCTGACACATTTGTTCCTCCACAATTTCTTTGCACTTTAGTTGTGCAGTGCCCATTTGGTTTGATTTGATTTGATTGTTGTCACATGTACTGAGTTACAACAAAAAGTATTGTTTTGCATGCTATCCAGCCAAATCATTACAGTATGTAAGTACTTCAGGGTAATAGAACAGAATACAGATTAAAGTGTTACAGCTACAGAGAAGGTGCAGAGAAAGATCAACTTTACTATACGAGAGGTCCATTCAAAAGTCTGATAACAGCAGGGAAGCTGTTCTTGTATCTGTTGGTACAGGTTTTCAAACTTCTATTGTCTTGTGCCCAATTGAAGAGGGTGGAAGAGGGTATAACCAGGATGGGAGGGGTCTTTGATAATGTTGGCTGCTTTCCTGAGGCAGTGGGAAGTGTAGGTAGAATCAATGGATGAAAGGCTGGTTTGCATGATGGACTGGGCCGTGGTCACAACTCTCTGAAATTTCTTACGGTCTTAGCAGAACAGTTGCCATACCAAGCTGTAATGCATCCAGATAGGATGCTTTCTATGGTGCATGTATAAAAATTACTAAGTGTCATCGTAGTCATGTAGAATTTCCTTAGCCTTCAGAGGAAGTAGAAACGCTGACCTCTAGGTGCCATATAGTGTCAACGTGGATAGACCAGGACACATTGTTGCTGATCTTCACTTTTAGGAACTTGAAGCTGTCAACCATGTCCACCTCAGCATCATTGACACAGCCAATCCTCCACACCATTTCCTGAATTAATGACCAGATCCTTTGTTTCGCTGGAGAGATTGTTGTCTTTACACTGTGCTATTAAGCTCCCTGTCTCGTCATTGTTTGAGATCCAACCGACTACGATGGTGTCATCAGCAATCTTGTAAACGGAATTGGAGCAGAATTTGGCCACACACATTAATGAGTGTATAAGAGTATAGTAAAAGGCTGAGTATGCAGCCTGGAGAGGAATCAGTGTCGAGGATCAGTGTGGAGATGTTGTTGTCACCTATCCTTACTCATTGCAGTTTGTGGGTCAGGAAGTCGAGGGGGGGTAGAATCAGAGTCCTAGGTTTTGGAGTTGGGAGATGAGCTTTGTTGGAACTATGGTGTTGAAGGCGGAGCTAAAGTCAGTAAGTAAGAGACTGCTGTAGGTGTACTTGTGATCCAAATGTTCCAGGGATAAACGTAAGGCCAGGCAGATGACATCTGCCATGGATCTGTTGTGTCATTTCACTGAACATTTGTTCAAAACAAGCATAGAATGCATTGAGTTTAATGGGAGGGATGCACTGTTGCCAGCAATTCTACTCAACTTCGCTTTGTAGCCCATTTAATTGTGTAAGCTTTGCCACAATCGACAGATGTTTCTGTGATTAGTCTCAGACTCTATTTTTGTCCAATATGTCTCTTGGCATGCCCGATGGCTTTGCGAAGGCCATACCTAGAATTTCTCTATAGATCAGGATCACCCAACTTGAACACCTCACACCTGGACTTCAATAGGTACACCCATGCTTTCCAATTGGAGAACACTCAGATTAACTGCTTTGGCATGCAGTCCTCTACACACTCACTGATGAAGTCTGTGACAGTAGTGGCATTTTCATTTAGGTTGGCTACCGAGTTCTTGAATATGGACCAGTCCACCGACACCAAATGGTCATATGGGAGCTCATCTGTTGCCTCAGACCAGCACTATGACTTTCTGTACCGGATCCTCAAGCTTTAATTTCTGCTAGTAAACCAGAAAAAGGAGCATAGCCTTATGGTCTGATTTTTCACAATGGGGCAGGGGCTGGAGTGGTAAGCATCTTTGATGGTAGTGTAGCAATGGTCAGGAGTGTTTGGGTCTCTGGTGGGACAGGAGGAGATGTGTTGATGGTATTTTGGTAGCACATTCTTAAGGTTGGCCTGGTTGAAATCACCTGCTACGATGTACAAGGTCTTAGTGTATTCCACCTCAAGGTTATTTGTAGCAGTGTATATTTCATCACTCTTCACTTCCACATGGGGTGTGATGTGAACTGCTGTCAGGATAGCAGAGGTGAACTCCTGCAGCAGTTGGTAGGAATGGCACTTACCGTTTGGTATTCTAGGTCCGAGGATCAGTAACTTGCTAGGGTTGTCACATCCAAGCACTAAGAGGTGTTGATTAGGAGGCAGACCCCTCTGCCCCTTGCCTGGCCCAAAAATGCCATGTGGTCCAACCGGTGGATTGTGAAGCCCTCAGGGCGTAAGGCACAATTAGGTGAAGTAGAAGCGAGCCATGTATCTGTAAAATAGATCACACAACAGTCTCTCAATTCTCTTTGATAGGTGAGTCTAGCTTTAAGTTCATCCAGCTTTCTTTCAATAATTTGTGCATTTGCCAGGAGTAAGCTGTACAGGGGGATGATTTGAAACCACGTTGTTTCAGTCTCGCCTGCGGGCCAGCCCGCCTCCCACATTTCTCAACATGTAGCAACAATAACATCTGCTGTATCTGGATCCATTAGGGAAGGTTCCACTAAACATATTTGGGAAATATCAGAATCCAAAGAGCTCCTTATAATGTCAACAGTCACATTTACACATAAATGAGTGTCTGCATATTGACATATAACATTTTAAACCTTATTTTGATGTATGTAACCTAAACCATATCAAGCAAATACAAGAAGAGACTTTAAGTGTGACAGGATTACTGAAACATTGTTCCCTCCACCTTATGTTACTCAAGAAAATTATATTATTGTTAAGTACTTAAGAGAAAAGTAATTTCATTCCCTTTTACCTATGAGACCTGGAATTTCTTTGTGAATTGTGGCCCTCATGTGACATTTTAAAGATCACCTGTGATTACTTCTGCTTCAGAGATGAGTGAGATCAATTTGTAATGACCAATGATGC